AGTTTCCTAGCTTTTGGCTCAGCCAAATTGGTTTAATTTTTCATTAGAACTTTGTGATCCCGTTAATTTCCCAGTTCTTTGTGTTCATTAATGGTCTTGACAATAAGCGTGAATTGCTGGGCGAGCCCACCGCACACGACCGCGGTAAACCGGGGTCATGGAATCAATGCATAAATTTGCATAAAATGCGGTCGACCGGCGAGCACCCACCACCACCGCGGTAATGACCGCGGTGCACCGCCCGTTTGATTTCCTACTCTTCCCTTAGTGGGTGAAATATTAATGTCATAAATAATTCTGTCTTGTAAATAATAGAAACTAACACATGATAACGATAATCAAATTTGTGTTCGAAAGTACTTGCATAATTTCTGGTTTCAAATAGTTTGAAAATAGAACGTCCTTGAACGCGATAAAATCACGCGTAGAACGTCTTCCGAACCAGACATTAGTAGCCTAAACTTATTGCAAATTTGCGCAATTTGGGCCCAGTTTGTTCTTACAAGTTTTCTAAGTTTCAAACAACAGTGGTCAACTTTCTATTCCCTGTTTACAGTACTCAATGACATGTCCACCAAAATTGTGATTGGCTGGTTGGTTTGTGACGTTGCATGAGCTGTCAATCATTCTCTGTATTGGTAGAAAACCATGTAGTGTCACGTGTAGGCAATTACAAGCGTAAACAGTCCTCAAGGCCTGTGGCATTCTTTGCAAATGAAGCAGTGTTTGTCGATTTAGTATACTAACAAATTAGGCCTGAGGACAAATGACAGTCGAGGTACTGTAAAATAATTTATTTTAGGTAGAATTAATTTTCGTTTTGGGTATTTTGTATGGAATTTAATTTCACTGATTTTTGATGAGTTGAGTGTAAAATATAGGAAAAAAAGGTACATTTGCTGGATTTTATTTTCACTGAACCATTCCTTCAGCGAAAATAGAGAACATTAATTCCAAGCGAAAATAAAGTATTTTACAGTAATATGCAGTTGTATGCACAAATGTTAGTTTTCCATCTTCAGTTTTGAGTCTTAATAGGTATTAGTTTTAAAAGTTTATGAAGTGTTCAGAAATATACAAGAATTCCGTCTCTATCTTGAAATCCATACTGTGCATGATCAGTTACTTTAGACACTAGAAAACTTAAAACTTGGCTATACGTTGCAACAATTTGAATGAACTTTTTTTCTGTACTCTAAACAAAATAATTTTTCACTTTTCGCTGAAAACTGAAGCTTCATGAAAATGTAGAATTGTAATAGAATTTATTGTTTCACTGGAAAATCTGTGAATTTTAAACCCAGTGAATATGCTTGAATTATCACTATTATGTTTCTACAGTATTTTGCTATAATTTCACAATTTTTACTTTCCTCCAAACAATTTTCTTCCCTCGTTAAAATTGGAGTGTAAAATGTCAAGATGCTATGTATGTAACTTGTATGATTGTTTACAAACAGGCTGCTGGCAGTCGCTTTGATCAAAACAACCAACTGTTGACTAGTCTAGAAAGCAGAGGAAAACATGCATTTGAAACATTTGTTAATGCCCTGTTTGAATCTGGCCAAACTGACCTAGCTGAATTGCTGAGACCTACAGGTCCAATACATGAACCTAGATTAGTGGATCCGGCTGCTGTTCCATATCAAGCTGGTGGCCCAGGTTATGTTGCCCAGGCAACGCAACAAAACAATGTCCATCCTGGTAAGTACTTGTCTCCTCTTTTCTACAATGTCAGATATATTATTGGCAGTTAACACAAGATTTAAATGTTGCCAAAATATCAAAATATGCAATGTGTTACGGTTTGTTGGAAATTATGAGTCTCCGGCTTTTGTTTGCCGTTCCATAGGCTACATCATCTTTCTCCGCTATGATCTGAAATTGCTGCTTTATATCCGTTCTACATGTACTGCAATGTACTGCAATCATCACATGGCAACCATGGTTGACTATTTGCATTCTAAGCCTTGCATGGATGAAATGTATCGGTGATGAATCTTACGTAGTGTATTGTTGCAGGAGATCCGAAATCAAAGATTCCAATGTAAATTAGTCAGAATTGTGTGCCACATGATAAAAGCTGTTTCATGTACAGTAAAAGACTTAATTTTTGCTTGTAATTTATTTTCGCTGAAGGGATGATTCAGTGAAAATAAAAAACAGTGAATATACATTTTTTCCTATATTTTATATTCAACTCATCAAAAATCAGGGAAAGTAAATTCCATACAAAATACCCTAAAAGTCTTTTCAGCGAAAATGAATTGCAGCTATTAAAAAGTATTTTACAGTATGCAGCACATGCAATTCTGTATAACTCTCTGGCAGCATTTTCTAGTTTTACATCCTTCATGACAAATAATTATTTGTCAATCACAAACAGTGCGACAACATTGGTGTACATTGCAAGACGAGCTTTCTCACTATCTGAGCATACAAGAAACAGCCATGCTATTATGTCCCTGGTTGTATTTTTAATGCTATCATAACAAATGCTACTCTTGATGTTTCAAATTCAGCCTACTGGGTAGGGCAGAATAATTATAACAATCAAGATGAATAACTTAGTCAAGTGTTATGCAAATTAGCCAATGTGAACTATTTCATTTGTCTTGTGTTAAGTTACTATGCATGCTTCAACATTTCAACTGACATGTGAGGGATGTATGCACAAACAAACAAAACATGCCATTTCTCCCTCCATTTTTTTCTTCCTTTTTGCACCATCTGCAAGATGATTTTGTATAGTCTGCTCCTTCTCAAATGAAACTTTCAAAATGAAAAATTGACAAACTGTCTGTATGAAATTTTAGGTTAGAAAAAAATCTCCAAAAGGTTAACCTTTTTACCACCAGACTTTCTTGCCCTAATTTTTCTGGATTTTTTTCTTATAATTCTTCAATATTTCTGGAAATGAACCCTAATTTTGGAGCCAATAGAGAAAATTCGTTGTCTATTTCAGTTTTTGGTGAAAAAAATTTGGATATTTTGGTCCCAATCTTCTGACGGAAAGTGCAGATTATAACCTATATTTTGTGAATTTGTGATGAAAAGAGGGAACTGGTGGTGAAAAGGTTAAATATCATATACATAAAAATAAAAGAAATGAAATGCAATGTGCACACATCGCAATCATTGACGTCAAAGGGCGAATAATGGGCCAGGGTGTTTGTGGTGATTAAAATTCAGTGCAGGTATGCAAAATAATATTCAAATTGTCTGATGTAACTGCAGAAAAAAAAATCTGCAGTCAGCAAAGATTGATGTTAGGAAAAACCAGAATGTAATTATGCGATACATATAATGGACTTTGAGTGTCTCAATCATGTAATTGATGATTTCATATTAGTGGAATAAACTACTTAACCCTTAATGCCAAATTTAACAGTATTTCACAAAATAAAACTACCTAATAGTGATTTTTAATTTTGATCAAGCTCTATTGTTCCAAAATTAACAAAGAATTTATATTTAGAATGTGAAAAATGTTAGTCTTTAAGGTACTGGGTAATATACTGTTATAGCAAAGGTCAAAGGCCAATTGGTTGCTCATTTCGGCGGGTTATATTCACAGGAATGTGCAGTGTGATTTGTCAAAGTCAACTTTTACCCCATTCCACAAATTTTTCCTATATTTTTTTTCCAGAAATGTTGCAATGGAAAATTATGTACATTTGGTGCAAAATTAAAGGCACAACAATAGTGCCATGTGCCTTTATTTTCTAAAATTGTTGATGGTTTCTGCGAGTCCACAAAAATATCCTGTTATATTTATCACTTTTTAATCATTTTTTTTTTTCCTACTATTACAACATAGTTTTGTTTGACAGTCGATATGTCTGTCACTTTGCTTCAGCACAGGTTAATATCGAGAATAAGAAATCAGACAAAAATACACCAACCTAACCAGAACCAGTGTTTATGGGGATTACAAGAAATGACTGTAATATATTCAAGCTGTTTGTTTTGTAAATTTTTATGAAGAGGGGGTAACCATTCAATTACTATAGGAAACCCCTCTTCGCTGTAGGAAAATTAATTTTTTCATGATTAGGAGCCGCCATGAACGCATAGAACGTGGCATATCGCATGAACTGACCCAGAATTGTGAGTTTATCTATATCTGAAATTTAGGTATCCATTTATCAGCATATTCAAACTTGATTTTCATGTAAACCCTTCCTGCCTTTCATTGCCACACAGCCTACTGTAAATATTCTGATTTTCATGTAAACCCTTCCTGCCTTTCATTGCCACACAGCCTACTGTAAATATTCTGATTTTCATGTAAAGCTTCCTGCCTTTCATTGCCACACAGCCTACTGTAAATATTCTGATTTT